ATAGTCAGGTATTTTCAGTAACTCTTATTTCTAATACACAATGTTTGTCAGTCTGGCATTCGAAGTTTGCCACCTTTTGCCATTTTTCTTTTTAAAACAAATATGATCTTCCAGTGAATTAGTGACTATCTCTTGTGTTTACCCAATCCATTCTTTTGCTTAAGCTTTTCCTTGTGACTAGACTCTAGAAGGCCATTTCCATATATCCAAATCTTACCTTAAGTCTTAGCTCAAATGCTTTTCTCTCAAGTGAGCTAGCTGTATCTCACCCTGAAAAGGGGCGATAATCAGTATCCTTCTTAGGGCACTTACTACGTCAGAGCATGTAATGCTGTTGCTTATGTGAATCATAACATGACACGCACAACATTTAGGACAGGCTCTGCTTACATTTTACTTTTATATCCCCCTCAGTGCCCGGCACACTGTGCCTTGTGTATGCATGAATGACAAAGTTAGGAAAAACAGAGGTAATTGGCTAATTTGACTGCTAGCTAGGTTTTCTTTAGGGATCCTGGGGTAGTGAGTTCAAATCCAGCAGACTTCTCTCAATTGCTTTTGGTTTCTGTGCAAAGGACACCTGAATTCTTCCCAGAACAGTTACACTGCTGAAAAGGAGGAGGAGGAAGAGGAAGAAGGGTAGTATTTCCACAGTACTTGGCATTGCCCAGGGCAATTTTCAGACACTGACATAGGGTAGATATCCACAGCAGGGAACAAGAGTTACTAAAGGTCTGGAAGTAATGGTCTATCCATCTATTCAACACATTTTTAAAAAAAGCATGTGCTATATGCCAAGAATTCTTCACAAAATGAAGTCTCTGCCCTTAAGGGGCTTATGCTCTTAGGAGGTGTGGGGGTGGGGGTGAGGAAGGTAGACACCCAACAAATATTATAGTATGCAGGGAGAAATGGGCACGTAATGTACACAAATATATAATGGAGACAAATACAGCAGGAGAAGCTGGATAGAGAGGGTGGTGAGGAATTGTCATTTTAGGGGAGTTCAGGGGAACACTTTTCTGATGAAATATTTCAGCAGGGACTGAAGGAAGTTAGTGAGACTTGTAGCTGGAGGGGGAGGGGGGGGAGTTTACAAGTAAACAGTTAAATGCAAAAGCCCTGGGAGGAATACTAAGTGCTTGTTGAACGTGGATGTGGGCAGCGGGGCGTGGAAGTAGGGACTACAAATCAAATACGCCCTCACACAACAATGGAAGCCATTGAGGGATTTTGGCCAGAAAGCAAGCAGATCAAGGGAAGCCAATTAGATGGCTATTAAACAACAATCTGAGTGAGATAACAGTGGCTTTGGCCAGAGTAGGGGCAGAAGAGAGGAGAAATGGTTGCTTTTCTAACAGGTTTTGAAGGTAAAGGTGTCAGGATTTGCAGAGATTTGAAATGCGCTGTTAGAGAGGGATCCAGAATGAGTCAAGATGGGGCGCCTGGGGGGTGGGGTGGGGGGCTCAGGTCGTGATCCTGGAGTCCCAGGATGGAGCCTCCAGCCCCGCTCCCTGCTCATCGGGGAGTCTGCTTCTCTCTCTCCCTTTGCCCCCCCAACCTCTCATGTTCGCTCTCTTGCTCGCTCACTGTCTCAAATAAAATCTTAAAAAAAAAAAAAAAAAGAGTCCCAACGACTGGAAGGAACAGATTTGCCATTGACTGAGAGGAGATTTAGCGTGACTGGGGGTGGGGATGAGGCAAAAGATAAGCTTTAAAGATTTAGGCAGTAGAACAAACAGTAAATAGTTGGCAGAGGCGGGAGGAAGACAGGAAGACAGTTGTGTAAGGAACAGAGCCATTTCAGAACGATGGGGCCTTCTTTATGGCGATGGCCACACGCTTCATGTGTATCCGCTGTTGAGGACAGAGAAGGAACTGCGGATCTGTAAGGAATCCCCTAACTTGCTCAAACATACATGTTTTGTTTTTCATTAACTTTAGGTAAGAAAACAGAGGTACATCTAGTATCTGGTACCAAATCTTTTTACTTTCCATTATTTCTAAAAACTCAAGTTAAAAACATTCAAGTTCAGTTTAAATCTAAAAACCTGCCTAATTAGAGCAAAAGTGCCGAGAATAGGGATCTTGTCTTATACCAAAGCTGAGGGCGTAATAGGCACTTAGTATGTGAGTCAACAAATGGAAGGTACAGTAAGAGTTGTTTCAAGGCTTTCGATAGGTTTGGCCTAACTGCCCCTTGAAGATGTAGTGTTCATTCATATTTCATGCACCAAGAATATGACAGTACTTATTTCCCCACAAATTTGCCAATATTGACAGTCACCGTGCTTTCCACAACTGCTACTGTGGTAGGTGACAAATAGCATCTCGTATTTATTTGGGTAAGTAATGGGGTTCTGCACTTTTTGTGCTTTATTAGGCATGTTATTATAAATTTTTTTAAAATTTGAATTCCAGTATAGTTAACAGTGGTATGTTAGTTTCAGGTGTACAAAACAGTGATTCAACAATTCCATACATCCCCTGGTGCTCATCCTTAAAGTGCTTTCCTTAAATCACCATCACTACTTCACCCATCCCCCCACCCACCTTTTTTCTTTTATGAATTGCATTTTAATATTTTTGCTCAGTTTTCAGGTTTTTTTTTTCTTTCTCCAACTGAAATGAGTTCTTCATACACACTGGGTACTAAAACCATTCATATGTTGTAAATATTTTCCTTTATCTTCCACCATATAAAAATTTAAGATTTATTTCCTTTAATGTTGCTTTGCCACATTAAATTTCTTGCAAGTCACATTTAAAAAGTTCATTCAATATATAATGAATTACTGATTATATATAAGAAAATGTACTAAATATTATGTGTGGGCAACCAAATAAAAAACCAAAAAGCATCCTATTTTCAGGCACGTTACAATCACGAAAGGTTGTTATATGCACATTTATAATACAGTATGCAGTAGGGCTGTAATAGTGGAAGTTCGTTGGGAGTGCTCTTATGAGGGAGAGAGTATCCTGAATGATTTAGACAGGCTTTAAGGAAAAGTTAAAATCAGAATTAGGCAGAGAGGTAAGATTTGAAGCGGGGGAAGTTCTACGCAAGTGAACTGCATGAGCAGATATAAGACGCAAAGCACGAGGCGCATTCAGGGAACAGTGGGTAGTCCAGCGTGGGTTGGCTAATATTGTAGAGAAAGAGAATGACTACACCTGCTGAATTGTTTTGAATACTTTCCCATCCATTATGTGGTCTGTAGCTGACTCCCCCAGTGCCAGAAGTGGTAATTACCCAGATTAGTAGAATGCTTGGGAAATGAAACAGAAGCTGTAGAAAGGGCGATTTTCATTTTCATACCCCTTGCACACCAAAGACCAGCCCACTTTGGTTCTGCACAGATGAATCAGGTTGACTAAGGCCCTATAATCTAAGGCATAGTCTGCACTTTCAGTTCTCTAAACTAAGTAGGTATTTAAGGTCCCCTGAGGGTTTAAAACATCTAGGAAATCATAGATGCCACGAAGTATCGAAACTTATTTGGATCACTGATAAACATTCTCAGCTTACCTTAGACCCTAAACATGGGTAACTCTTGATGAAATCCCTGGCACAGATACCGTCAAAAGCGGAAGCACAGTTCTCATTATAGATGTTCCGTGGGCTCTGGGTCACCATTGCACAGTAGGACAAAGCATGACATTGCAGACATCGATTTTCTCATAAACACTGGAAACTTAGGGCGCCTGGGTGGCTCAGTTGGTTAAGCGATTGCCTTCGGCTCAGGTCATGAGCCTGGAGTCCCAGGATCGAGTCTAGCATCGGGCTTCCTGCTCAGCAGGGAGTCTGCTTCTCCCTCTGGCCCTCCCCCCTCTCATGCTCTCTGTCTCTCAAATAAATAAATAAAATCTTTAAAAAAACAAAAAACAGAGGAAACTTAAAATATAACTGGAAGGGTTCAGTGCCCCCCAACCCCCGGGTTCAATTGCAATTAAGACAGTTTAAACCAGGTAACTGCAAAAATACCTGTGAACTGTATTTTAGTTTCTAGTCACTCAATAACTTGTGAGATCCAGGCTTAAAAGTAAATGTTGCAAGGTCTGCATGGAATGATTAAATCCTTTGGGTAAGGATTTAAGAGATAATAGTGTAAATAAGATTTGAAAAAAATGTAGCGAAGTCCTATATATTCTTCAAGGTTATTAGAGATGAAAACAGGCAAGGTGTGGGGGCACCTGGCTCAGTCACTTAGTCTCCCTTCGGCTCAGGTCAGGATCCCAGGGTCCTGGGATCGAGCCCAGCATCAGGCTCCTTGATCAGTGGGGAGTCTGCTTCTCCCTCTGCCTCTGCTCATGCTCTCTTTTGCTCTAATAAATAAATTCAAACTCAAGCAGTTCTGATTGCTGAGGTAGTATCCTATCCCCTGAAACCTTAGTGGCAAATTTAATATAATTTAAACACATTTTTGCTACATGTTAAATATATATATGCATATAAATAAATAAATATATTCACACCCTTCAATAAACTGTAAGTGGACAAAGCTGGAGAACAGATCTTTTCTATATCCAACTTATTTGACTCAAAATATACTTCACAGCTCTCAACCTATATACAGATTTCTTACCTAGTTTTACAAGATTAATTTGCAGAATTCGACCTGTATTATTCCAGTGCTAACTACTAGCTATACTGATTTATTACACAGGGTCATCAGCATAAGGGAACTTAAGAATTCATTCTGGATACACTGTATGTTAACTAATTGAATTTAAATTAAAAATTAAAATAAAATAAAAAATAAAATTCATAAAAAAAATTCATTCTTGGGCAGAAAAATGAGAACTGTACAGTGATTTCATCACTGTAAACTGAATTGTTCCTTAGCATACACTAAGGCTAATATAGGGCAGATCATTAACCATAAAGTACATTGTGGGATTAAAGGGACAAGAGTGTAGTTCAAAGTCTTTTGACAAAATCATACATTCCTATTACCTTTGAAAATAAACACTAAGAATTCTTGTATACATCTTAGTTCCTGTTTGGACATTCCATTCAATTTATTGGAATGCTTTTTGAAATGCTACATTACCATTATAATACAGAATGATGTAATACAGAATCTCACTTCAAGCAATTACCAGCCAAATAGTATCAGGGAAAATGGGACTTTCAGTCACAACATGAAATACATATAGACTCTAAGGCTATCCTATTATTTGAGTGTTTTCAAGTTAGAAAACAGATTATAAAAAACTCAAGAGGTCGCCAGGTTTACTGAGTGCTTCTGACACTGTAAAAGTAAGACACAAAATAACACCAGTTACAACCATTAGGGCTCACAATCATTTAAATGATGGGACTGCAAAGGGTTTATGACTCAATTGTCCAGAAGTTGTAAAATTCCTTCTGTTTCTCAATAAAATAATTCTAAACGACACACATTCTCTAAAGCAGCTTTCCAGTGTGTCAACATGCGTGCTCTCTTGGCTAGATGTTTGCCAGAAATGAGCAGGAATCTCTACTTTCCTCCATTATCATCTGGCAAAGTTGTAAAACCAAACTGCTTAACTCCTTCTGCCAGCTAGGCTGCCCCCTACTGGACTGTGTAGGACATAAAGCCAGCAGATCAACGGGACTAAGTTCCCTAACACTGTAGATCTAACTGTACACCCCATACCTCAGACAGACTGAACTTCCCTGAATACGCACAAAAAGAATCCTTTAGAAAACTGACTTTCACAGTGGGGAAAAAAAGCAGCAGAGTGTTCTGTCTACAAGTAAACAATTCCAGTCACTGAGAACTGGTAACAAAGAAGTTTACTACAGTCTTAGGCTCCTTTTTCAACTCCTTGGTGGCTGATCTGGAACAATAGTTCTAGTAATGGGTATACTGTAAAGCCAATCTTTTATGATGATTTGTGTATTAATACAAATCACATTTTTGTGAGTCCATCTACTCTATGGATTTCTTTATGCATAAACATGATTCATAGTAGATACATGCTGTGTAGATCACATACACAAGTCTCTTGTCACAAGTATCAACTTTTTCCAGAGCTGTTTGCTTTGTGAAGATTCATCTGGTTAGCAAGAGCTTTTTCTCTGTACTTCATCCCCATGCCTGAGATTTGCAGTAATGTAGGACCAGTTTACCATCACTGCCAAAGCACTACAAAAAGGAAAAAAAAAGGCAATAAATTAAACTCCATATAATTTCTATTATTCCTAGATGAAACTAAGGAAAAAAATGTTACGTGTATCATAAATATCCTCATCCATGTAAGTTATCTACAAGACTCTTTCAACAGATCCAGGTTACTCTTGGACACATCAGTAATCATAAATGTTTAATAAAATCTAGCATTTTGGGGCCCCTGGGTGGCTCAGTCATTAAGCATCTGCCTTGGGCTCAGGTCATGATCCCAGGGTCCTGGGATCGAGCCCCGCATTGGGCTCCCTGCTCCGCGGGAAGCCTGCTTCTCCCTCTCCCACCCCCCCTGCTCGTGTTCCTTCTCTTGCTGTGTCTCGCTGTCAAATAAATAAAATCTTTAAAACAACAACAAAAAACTGGCATTTTAGGAACGGGTGGGCTTGTCCCCTTCCTACATCTCTGATGACAAGGTATGTACTATTTTCTAGCAGTGGTGCTAGTGTGTACCTCAAAGGATTATGGCCACTAAACTGTAAGAATGTTGAATAAAGTCATTCTTGTTATGTAGCCCTTCCTTTTCAACATCTTGGGAGGCAGATCTGGATTACTGTACTTCAAAGTCATCTTCTGTTGGTATTATTCATTTGTTAATTCTTCCATCACTGTAATTTGAGATCCAATTATGTTCTGTTAGATATAACAAAGTAATCTCTTCTTTCATGACAGCTAAGAATGGCATATCATCTCTTAAAATGTTGAGTTTATGATGACATAACACAGACGTGCATACTCCATTAGAAAGCAAAGTACTGATGTATTACCTCATAGAGGGTTCCAACTTCCTGGTCTGGGGAGGGGGCAAAGGACTGATTCACATAAATAAACTGCAAGAAAGAAAAAAAGATGATTCATTTTTAATGGTATCCTGATTAATCTGCACTCTTCTGGGTTGTCAGCTATTTCAATTTGTCTTCAGAACTGAAAAAAAGCTTCCCCAGACTCCTTCTAATTCTAATAACTTACTCAACTAATGAGATCTCTCAAAGCTCCATCATATCTTTCCTATGGAGGACTAAAAGTAACAGAATTTCTGGTCCTAGAACAGTGGTTCCTAACTTTTTATAACTAAGAAACTTTTAAATATTGTCTTTACAAATAGCATTTGGAGGTTTATTCAAGAAAGTAATTATTGGAAATATTAATTTTTCCACTTACTCATAATAACGACAGAATTTCTCCGAATGAAATTCTACACATAGTCCCAAATCAAGAAATTTAATATTTGAGCTACTTGTGCATTTTTTTGGAGGGGGGGTGAATGACACAAATGGTTGGAGATATATGTATATATATATTTTTTTAATCTTTATCACCTTTGGTTTTTTGAGAGACTTTTATTTATTTATTTGACAGAGAGACACAGCGAGAGAGGGAACACAAGCAGGGGGAGTGGGAGAGGGAGAAGCAGGCTTCCCGCGGAGCAGGGAGCCCGATGCGGGGCTCGATCCCAGGACCCTGGGACCATGACCCGAGCCGAAGGCAGATGCTCAACGACTGAGCCACCCGGGCGTCCCTACCTTTATCACCTTTGAAAACTCTCAAAGGTACTGAGCTTCAGGCAGAGTACCACTACTAAGTCACTTTCAGCCATGTGACGTTAAAAAAAACAAAGTAACATAAATGAAGTAAAAAAGTAACAAAGCCTTATTCTTTAAAGGATTCACTGTTCAATGTTTCAGTTTAGTCTATTTTTACTAAAACATTTCTAGTACTTAAAACATTTCTGGGGACACCTGGGTGGCTCAGTCGTTAACCATCTGCCTTCTGCTCAGGTCATGATACCAGGGTCCTGGGATTGAGCCCCGCAATTGGGCTCTCTGCTCAGTGGGGAGTCTGCTTCTCCCTCTCCCACTCCCCCTGCTTGGGTTCCCTCTCTCGCTGTGTCTGTCAAATGAATCTTAAAAAAAAAAACAAAAAACCCCCCCCACATTTCTGGGGGTGCCTGGGTGGCTCAGTTGGTTAAGCATCTGCCTTTGTTTAGCTCAGGTCATGATCTTAGGGTCCTAGGATCAAGTCCCACATGGGGCTCCCTGCTCAGCGGGGAGTTAGCTTCTCCTTTTCCCTCTGCCCCTCCAACTGCTTACGCACTCTCTCAAAAATAAAATAAAATCCTTAAAAAAACCGAAAACAAAACCAAAAATCATTTCTGAAGATCCTGAAACAAAAGGCCACAGTGTCAAAGTGGCTTTTGATAATTTTCTTTTTAGAAAACAAAAAAACATTATTTGCAGGTAACATTCAATTTTCCTTTGTAATCAATTTCTAGGACTAAAATTTCCTGGGCTTAACATAGTCTTAAAAGAAAAAAAACTGTATTGCAATAGTTAGTTGAGAGATACTACACGGGTCACCAGCTATTACAAGAATAAATATTGCTTCCATTTCTCCCCGAGGCAATACAGTGTGGTAATTAAGAATAGACGCTCTACTGAGACAGATCTAGGTTTGAATCTTGGCTCCAAATACAAATAACCTTTCTCACTCTGTTTCCTTATTTGTAAGTGTACAAAATAACAGTACCTGTGCTTCATGGGGCTGCTGGGAAAGATAAAATGAGATTAAGACACATCATGTATCAGTGCCTGGTATATGTACTCAATAGACACTAGTTATTACTTTATTTCAAAATAGTCCATGCTTAATTATCAATTCATTGTTAAGACTGAGTAATGTTCTAACATAAAAACTCAGAAGAGAAATCAGTGTGCATTTTAATGTGAATTTCCTATAATACATAATAATTTGTGTTTAGTTCCTGGCACTTTGAGTGGACAGAGATTTTACTCCTGGTACATTTTAAATTAGGATGAAGACTCTCAATGACAGTTTACTTCAGCAAATAGTCAACGAGTGTCTCCTATGTGCTAGAAACTGCACAAAGTATGGAACTATGAAAATTACTATGATCTCTTCCCTCAATGAGCTGTTGATCTAATGGAGAGGCAGACACACCAACAGAGAATACAGATGGGACAAGTGCACATAACAAGGTGTACAGTACACAGAGATGTGGCATTCGTTCAGCCTAGCATAAAGGCCAGAGAAGTTTCCTGGAGGAGATACCTGAGAAATAAACAGGATTTAACTAGGTGAAGAGAGTAATAAGGGCTCTGGAGGCAAATGGGGCAGAAGTAAGGAGTGTCAGTGTAGAGTAGATGTAGAGAACTACAGGAACTCAACGTGGTTCGTGTTAACAGGAGTTAGCAATTGAAAGCAACTCATAAAAAAAGCAATACACCTAATTTAAAATTCCATGAAAGTAAAATTGTTCACAATGCAATCTTTTGCTGAACGCTACAACTCGGGAAGATAAAATTATTTTAAAAAATGATTTTGTTTTTAAACCGCTGGTCTTTACTTTCATCGTTATGAAGCTCTTTCTGTAGTAGCTTCCTCAGGAAAGGTTCATGGGAACAATTCCAAGTTCTTGCACATTGCTAACAGTTTATGTCTATTAAAATCAGTTTTTGGGGTGCCTGCGTGGCTCTGTCAGTTAAGCATCCAACTCTTGGTTTTGGCTCAGGTCATGATCTCAGGATCTTGCTATCAGCTCTGAGTTGGGCTCTGTGCTCCAGTGTGGAGTCTGCTTGAGATCTCTCCTCCCTCCCCCTGTGCATTTCCCCGGCTCGCATGCACACGCCCTCTATCTCAAATAAATACTTTAAAAGTCAGCTTTGTTGAATATAAAATTCTTATCTCACAATTTCTTTCCTTATAACTTTGCTATCAACATTTGATGATAATCTAATTTTCTTTCAAAGTCATATCCTCTTTTTTTCCCCTATATGTCCAAAGAAGTTTTTTCTTTTTATTTCAAGCCTAGTTAATCTTACCAGAGTATTTCTTGGTGCTTGTTATTCTTTGTTGATATTCTCAAGTAACTTTTCAATATGTAGTTTCAAATTTTATTAAGAAATTTCCCTTGATTTATACTTTTATTTGTCTTGTTCCTTTGCTTTTTCAGGAACTCCTGTTATCCGTATGTTCACTTTCCTTTGTTCATACTCAATTATTTGCCTCCGTTTCTGAAATCTTTTTTTACCTTTCTTTTTGATTAAAAAAAATTGGCCTTTACTGGGCTCCTGTGTGGCTCAGTCAATTAAGTGTCTGACTCTTGATTTCATCTCCGTGTTGTGATATTGAGCCCTGTGTGGGGCTCTGCACTGGGCGTGGAGACTGCTTAAAATTCTCTCTCCCTCTCCCTCTGCCTCTCTCCTAAAAAAAAAAAAATAGCTTTTTGCCTTCTGTTTTTCCTAAGGCATTCTCGGTTATTTGCTCTTATGCTTCTCCTACTTGAATCTCTCTTTTTTTTTTTTTTTTTTTAAGATTTTATTTATTTATTTGACAGACAACACAAGTAGGCAGAGGGAGAGTGAGAAGCAGGCTCTCCACTGAGCAGGGAGCCTGACGTGGGGCTCGATCCCAGGACCCCGGGATCATGACCTGAGCCGAAGGCAGACGCTCAATGACTGAGCCACCCAGGTGCCCCAAGATTATATTTATTTATTTGAGAGAGAGTGAGAGAAAGAAAGAGAGAGAGAGAGCATGAGCGGGGGGGTGGGAGGGTGCGGGGGGCCAGAGGGAGAAGCAGGCTCCCCGCTGAGCAGGGAGCCCGATGCGGGGCTTGATCCCAGGACCCTGGGATCCTGACCTGAGCTGAAGGCAGCCGCCTAACCGACTGAGCCACCCAGGCGCCCCTCAAATATCCATTTCTGAAATAACTTTTATTTATAATTCCTTCCCTGAGCTCTGTCACTTCAATTGAGTTTTTCTAATGCTGATTTCTGTTGTTCTTTTACATCTTGCATCATTTCCTTACTGTCTTTTAGCTCGTTTTGAAATATTAAGTTACAGTTACTGACTTGTACTACAGGCACATCTTTCTGGCACGCCTTCATTGTCTTTAGAAATGTTATGTTTCTGGGCGCCTGGGTGGCTCAGTTGGTTAAGCGACTGCCTTCGGCTCAGGTCATGATCCTGGAGTCCCGGGATCGAGTCCCGCATCGGGCTCCCTGCTCAGCAGGGGGTCTGCTTCTCCCTCTGCCCTCTTCCCTCTCGTGCTGTCTCTCATTCTCTCTCAAATAAATAAAATCTTTAAAAAAAAAAAATCTTTAAAAAAAGAAATGTTATGTTTCTTTCTTATAACACTGTATGGGATTTAACACTCTACTTCTCCATTTTTTTTTTTTTTTTTAAGATTTACTTATTTATTTGAGAGACTGAGCGCACGAGTGGGAGGGTCTGAGGAAGAGAGAGGAAGAATCTCAAGCAGACTCTGTGCCAAGGGCAGAGCCTGACATGGGGCTCGATCTCACGACCCTGAGATCGGGACCCAAGCAGAAACCAAGAGTCAGACGCTTAACCAGCTGTGCTACCCTGGAGCCCCTCCGTTGCTTATTTTTATATGTAATTAGTTTTCTTCAACTTTAGCTTTCCACTCTGTTCCCCTCCACTTTATCTGGTCTTTCTCTCTCCTTCTTCTCTCCTGTTCCTAACCCTGTTCAATTTTGTTTCACTTCCAGAAGTTCCTCCTCAGTGTGGGGTCTTGTCCTGCAAGGAGCCCTACTGAGTCTGTTTGGAGAACCCTCTGGGGCTAGACTGCTCCAGCCCCTTCAGTCCTCCTTGGGGCAGATGCATTGTAAACAACTGCTACCAGAGAGCAGCAAACCCTCTCATTTTCAGCTACCATACTTAAATTGGCCTGCTCTACTTCCCAGTGAATACCGGCTGGCTATATTAGGTTCTCCTTCTCTCAATGCTGCCGGGTGCCAATCCTGTTGCTTTTTTCAGTACATTTGGTGATACCATGCATTTTAGGGTTCATGAGGATACTCCCTTATCTAGGTTTGTTATAAATACTGATCAACTGTTTTTTGGTTTTGCTGTCTAGTCAAAAGCATTTTTGTGGGAATCTGAAGATCCAATCATGCCTCTGACACCACTGCTATCTTCACAGAATCCCTAGCATTATATTTTCCTTAACATCCATTTTGCTTAAAATACTGTGGGGTAGAGCTAGATGAAAGTCAGATGTGAGTTCTAGTTCAGTCTAGGAAAGTGACAAAATGATTCTACTTTTGTTTCTTATTGCTTAAATGGAAAGAACTAATCAGATTCACTACAAAGGTTTAAAGTTGAACCGCATGAGTGACTCCTCATGTCGGTTAAGCATCTGCCTTCAGCTCAGGTCATGGTCCCAGAGTCCTGGAATCGAGCCCTGCATCGGGCTCTTTGCTCAGTGGGTAGCCTGCTTCTCCCTCTCCCTCTGCTGCTCGTGCTCTCTCACTCTCTATCTCAAATAAATAAATAAAATCTTAAAAAAAAAAAAAATCCCATTAAAAAAATAAAGTTGAACCACATGAAATTGCTATTTTTCTATGTTATAATGGTTGACTGATGGCAATTTTACATGGTTCAACCTAATACAAATTGCTATCCATCAAGTCCTTTCAGACTACAGAATATAGGCAACACAAAGAGTCAAGGCTCTTAACATTAACATAGGACATACCATCGTTTCATCTTCTTTTCATAAACTTCTTATAGTAATGCCTTAATTCTGTGGTACTCTTCTGGTTTTCTATTTCACCAACTCTTCAGGCTGCACCCTTAGTACAGATAGCCTCTACTCATTTCTCTCAAGTCTATGGCTTCAGTCCCGTAACTTTTCCATTTAGACTTGGATGCTAGTCAAGTCCTCTGCTCCTGAGGTTTTAGCTACCATATGCATCCATCTCTGGCATTTCTTTAATTAAATTCTATATGGCACACTTATAAAACATGATTTTCTCACTCTAGTTGATCACAAAGGCAACTTCCTCTGGAGGAATCTTTGGCTCTATGCGACTCCTGCCTCAAATACCTTCTAGTGATTGACCTACCAGGCACTTACTTTTGTACCTATAATCCTTTCAGGAGAGCCACTTATAGCCAAACTCTTAGGTCAGTTTCTTCCTCCTCAATGACAGAAAGAAACAAATTCCAACACATACCACTTTAATAAATTAATTCACTCATTTTATGCATTCTTACTTCTAAGTTCATAAGCAACTATATCCCTCCCCAACACTAATACATACAAATCTTAATTTGTATTTTAAAAATACTTAATGATTCTTCATTACCTAACTACTCATAGACTACCCATGTTAGTACTGACCAAGATTGTGATCTGCAGATAAAGGTGTCTGATATATTACTTATAACACGTGACAAAAAAAAATACCAAATACATGTAGCCATTTAAAATTCTGTAGTAAAATACCAAGATAAAAACCAGTGGCATTTAAAACACTAATCCTTACAAACACCACCACAAAGTGCTTACCATGTACTGTACTATGAAATAGGCATCTCTCTCAGTTCTTCCATGACGTTGCAAAAGATATATTGCTTACCTCAAGAATACTGGAAAGGAACACTGATAGCAAAACAAATTTTAAAAATCCCAGAACTTCTCAGGCGCCTGGGTGGCTCAGATGGTTAAGTGTCTGCTTTCGGCTCAGGCCATGATCCCGGAGTCCTGGGATCGAGTCCCGCATCTGGCTCCCTGCTGGGCAGGGAGCTTGCTTCTCCCTCTGCCTCTGCCTGTCTCTCTCTCTCTCCCTGTCTTTCATGAATAAATAAATAAAATCTTTAAAAAAAAAAAAAATCCCAGAACTTCTCTGTACCAATGTTTTATGAGAGATCTTTCTGCATGGTCAGTCAATGAGAAAAAAACAAACAAACCAATATAGTAGGTAAAAAAGTGGTTTGCACCATAAAAGCAAATCTAAAAATCATTTCATTTCAGAGTTCCACAGAGAATTCAATAAAGTACAGAAATCCCATCAACAAAAGAAATAAAGACATTACTAAAGGAACATATGTGGCTCCATATTCATTTCTGTGTACAACAATTATTCATAGTTGCCTAGGAACTACTGTGAATTTATGTAGGGAAATGATCACCGTTGCTTTCATACCAACTGTTCAGAGGCCACAAGCTTAAGGAATTTTTTGATGAAGTCAATGAGTCCTTGAATGGTTCGGGTTCGCTCTACAGCCCACTTCTTTGTTTTCATTATAGGGGTGTCTCCCACAGCCTTCAACAGGACATCAACTGTCAAAGAAAAAAACACTGGCAATTACAATGAACGATCCAAAGAAAATGTGATATAAAAGACTTCAGAAAACTTAAACCTTTAATCAATATACAGTTTATGTATTTATGATACTGGAAGCATGTCCAAGATGTAGAAATGTTAGGTAATATGCTTTCTCATGCTTTTGTGGATTTTTTCCCTTGATTCTACAGTCCCACAAAGGTCTCCCCATGAAACTGCATTTTAAAAAATGCATTTGGACATAACAGGCAATTCCAAAGAAATAAAGATAGAAGAAGAAAAGATAGTAGAAAAGAAAATAAGAAAGAAAAATACATAAGATAATGTTATGTTCCTTTTCAATGGCCAACCTAGTAAAATTACAAGGGTATAGACAATATTACTGTTAGGAGGGGCGCCTGGGTGGCTCAGTCAGTTAAGCATCTGCCTTCAGCTCAGGTCATGATCCCAGGGTCCTGGGATCGAGCCCCATGTCAGGCTCCCTGCTCAATCGGGACCCTGCTTCTCCCTGTTCCCTCCCCCACTGCTTGTGCTCTCTCTTGTTATCCCTCTCTTTCAAACAAATAAAATCTTAAAAAAAAAAACATTACTGTTGGGAAAACACAATTGTATGTATACCCTTTCTGGAGAACATTATGGTAATAGATATCCAAATACTTCCAGATATACTTCGGCTCAATAACACTTCTAGGAATCTAGTCTAAGAAAATAATGAGATGTGAAGAGAAGGATTTCACCTTTGTTGAAGATTTTATTTTTACAGGAAAAAAACCAAAGAACAAAAAACCAAAACCTTGGTAAACCTAAATATCCAGCAAGGATATTCAGAAGATTGGTTAAATAAAGCATATTACACTCTATGATAGAATTTATATAATATAGTAAAGCACAAAATTCTAAATTCCCTGGGTTCAAAATCCTGCTTCTATCACTTGCTAGGGATATATATAGGGACAAGTTTTTTTTTTTTTAATTTTTTTTAAGATTTTATTATTTATCTGAGAGAGGGATAGAGCACAAGCAGGGGGAGCAGCAGAGAGGGAGAAGCAGGCTCCCCGCTGAGCAGGTAGCCCGATGCAGGGCTCGATCCCAGGACCCCGGGATCATGACCTGAGCCGAAGGCAGACGCCTAACTGACTGAGCCACCCAGGCGCCCCTATAGGGACAAGCTTTTAATCACCCTGTGCCAGTTTCTCCATTTGTAAAATGAGGATATCACCTACCTCACAAGGCTGTTGTGAGGATTAAATTAGTTAATACATGTAAAGTACTTAGAATAGTATCAGCTAATAACTCATACTCACTGAACCCTAAGATTATTAAGCTGCCACTAGAGAAACATACTATAAAAGCATACTTAACAGTATGACTAAGTTATCAAAATGTACTAAATACAAAACAGCAATGTACAATAGAATATCAATTTCATTAAAACCACCACAAACACATGTTCACAGAAATGTGGAATATGAACCAAAATGCTACTTCTCAGTAGTGACATTATAGACGATCACCTGATTTTACTTGTGCTTTTTGTAACCACCAAGTTTTCTACAATAAACTTAATATTATGTAATAAAAAGTATTAAAAAAAAATACAACTAGGAGCCAAAAGATATCAGACAGAGAAATCAAGTTTCAATAATCCAGACAGGGATGCCTAGGTGGCTCAGGTGGTTAAGCGTCTGCCTTCGGCTCAGGTCATGGTCCCAGGGTCCTGGGATCGAGCCCCCCATTGGGCTCCCTGCTCAGCGGGAAGCCTGCTTCTCCCTCTCCCACTCCCCCTGCTTGTGCTCTCTCTGTCTGACAAATAAATAAAATCTTAAAAAAAATAAAAAAAAAAATCAGACATCTACAATCAAAAGTGACACTGAAAGCAAAATGGTGTACTGCTGCCCCCTAAAGTTAGCTCCATGCTACTACATCTTCCCTGTTTCGTTCTTTGGTGTTAAAAATTGAGATTCCCACCAGGTCAATGCAATCAATTTATTTAAGTTTGCCCCTGGAACGAAGGTACCTAGAACACAGGACACATACAATTTATCTTCCTGAAAGTTTATCTTCCTTTTTCCATTTAATAATTATAACTTCAGTTATTTAAATATGAATGAGCTGGGAGATAACAGAGATGATTTTGGTTGACTCAGCTTCCATACCTCCCTTAATCCCTTGGGACCTGGGTATTTCAGCAAGTGAGGCAGGAAATATTGTGAGTTATATATACACTGAGGGAGAAGAGCGGGAAGGCAAGAAGCTAGAGAAGGAAAGTTACTTACTGTAGTTATAGCTGTAACTTTTTTTTTAATTCTAAAGGTGATTTGCTTAGAGTTCTCAACTATAGCTACACATCAGAATTAACATTTACGGGCGCCTGGGTGGCTCAGTTGGTTAAGCGAGTGCCTTCGGCTCAGGTCATGATCCTGGAGTCCCGGGATCGAGTCCCGCATCGGGCTCCCTGCTCGGCGGGGAGTCTGCTTCTCCCTCTGACCCTCCTCCCTCTCATGCTCTCTCTCATTCTCTCTCTCTCAAATAAATAAATAAAAAATCTTAAAAAAAAAAAAGAATTAACATTTACAAGAATACAGGTATCCACATCGATTACATTAGAATCTTCTGGAAGTAGTGCATTGGTAAGGTCGAAAGTTCTCCCAAGTAATCCTAATTAGTCCCTAAGAACCAACAACCTTGGTCAGCTTCAGGAATCTTTATTCTTCTGTAGCTTAAACTAAAGGTGGAGCATATGAAATATTGAAGCTTCTTCCATCAGAAGAGGTCCTCAAAAAAGGACAGTAACTTCAAGGAAGAAATTCAATGGCTAGAAACTAAGTTTTCATCACAGAGGCAAACTCAAATGCCCAAGGGCCAGAAAATGAAAATACTATTTTTCAACGGTGGTTTAAGGAAAAAGAAAACTATGCAGACCAAAGAAAACATGCCATATAACCTGAGGCCGTATCTGGGTTACGGGCCATTAATTTTTTGCCTCTGTTTTACTCAGCTATCTTCAGGGTCAAGTAGTAAGCTTTTGACTAAGGCTGTCAAAGTCAACCCCCAGGGGCGCCTGGGTGGCTCAGTTGGTTGAGCGACTGCCTTCGGCTCAGGTCATGGTCCTGGAGTCCCGAGATCGAGTCCCGCATCGGGCTCCCTGCTCGGCGGGGAGTCTGCTTCTCCCTCTGACCCTCCTCCCTCTCATGCTCTCTGTCTCTCATTCTCTCTGTCTCAAATAAATAAATAAAATCTTTAAAAAAAAAAAAAAGTCAACCCCCATCCCCGCCCCCGCCAAAAAGCGAACAAACAAAAAAACCCTCAACAACAAAAAACCCTGGAAAAGTCTGTTTCTGCTTATAGTAAAATGAGGGAAAAAAGAGCGCAAGAATCTGTAAAAATCATGGAATTCTTCAGAAAGACTCTAGTGCTTCTTTACAGAAATAAGCACAAGTTTCTGTTACTCTTCTAGGGCATCACGTGGAAATGGCAGAATAAGTTTCCCCCCCAAAGGTAGACGTGGTCTGACTTCAAAGGGAGAGAATGCCATACCCATACTTTAAAACTCTGAACTGAGAAAAACCGAGGCCTAGGGTCAACCGATCCGAATCGTAACGCCGATGTGAGGATACACAGAATGCCCAAGGACAAGTGACTTCCTTAGGATTTTCCGTATTTTACAATGGCGAACCAATTCTCAAGCAATTGATTGAGGACTAACGCAAGCAATGAAATGACTCGCTTCTAAAGGTTGCAAGTGGTGTGGGGTAGGGCGGAGAAGGCGATACCTATGCCTTTGGTTTTCTCTTACCACTCTTCATACTTGGTAAAATTTCAGGGGTTTTTTTTTTTGGTACAAGGAGTGAATTCACACGCAGTTCGTAAAATTTCAGGGTTTTTTTTTTTTGGTACAAGGAGTGAATTCACACGCAGTTCGTAAAATTTCAGGGTTTTTTTTTTTTGGCACAAGGAGTGAATTCACACGCAGTTCGTAAAATTTCAGGGTTTTTTTTTTGGCACAAGGAGTGAATTCACACGCAGTTCGTAAAATTTCAGGGTTTTTTTTTTGGCACAAGGAGTGAATTCACACGCAGCTCATGTAAGAAACAGCGAACTTGCCGCAAGGCGTGGATTCTAAGCCAGTCTTGCTACCGACCATCCCTCACACCTTAAGTCATTAATCAAATAATTACGTCCCATATTAAGCCCCCGGAGCCACCCGAGAGCCCACTCAGCTCCCACCTTCGAAGAGCCCGCAGTCTGGCCAACTCCGAGGAAGAGTGGAACGCAGCCCAACAACGACTGTGGCGGCCAAGGACCCGCGCCGCACCGCGAAGGTGCGTCCAGACACGGCTCCCCCGCGAGGCTCTCAACTCAAAGGTCGCGAAAGCCGAAAACCACACTTCCTCTCTCCTCACTGGTCGAAAGCCACGACTGGGACCGGCCCTCCTCTAAATTTTGCTCCTTTACTGGCCGCCAGGGACTAGTCGGACGCAATCTAACCCTCCCGCCTCTGCCTAGAAAGAAACTGCTCTCAAAATTACTTTTTTTCTTGGTGTCGCCGGCAGGTTCCTCCGTCCCCGGGGAGACCGCGGCGGAAGAAGGGGGCTCCGGAGTGGCCGTTTCCGGGGAGACCTCCGTAGGTCCTTCGCCATCAGCAGCAGTTGAGGGAGGTAGCTGCAACGCGGACTCCGGTTCCTCAGCCATCTTGCTCAGTGGAAGGCGAGGGCGGAAGTGGTGGCTCGGCGGGTCCAACAGTGGGCGGGCTTTACGCCGGTGGCGTCGCTAAGGAGGAGCCGGGTGGTGGTGGGGGGAAGCCAACCCAACGGGGAAAGTTGGGAGTTGTCGGTTGGTCCTCCACGTGGAACCTGTCGCAGAGCCCTGACTGCTAAGAGCGCAACTACGCTTCGCACAGCAACAATCCTCCGGAAGAAGTCTGCGAACCACGTACCAACAATCCTCCGGAAGAAGTCTGCGAACCATGCGCCGCCAAGTGCGCATGCGCCTCTCCGACTAGCGGGCTCGGGGCCGGAGATGTTTCCGCTTCCCTTCGCGCCGGCCCCGCCCCGGCCCCGCCCCGCGGCTCGGGAGCGCGCGCGCGCGCGTGCGGGAGGGGGCGGGTGGGGAAAGATCGCCGGCGAGATCCCGAGGCGAGGCTCGCGCGCCCGCCCCCGCCCTGGCCCCCAGCGCCCACCCGGTCGGCCCGGCTCAGCCATGATCAAGGCGATCCTCATCTTCAACAACCACGGGAAGCCGAGGCTCTCCAAGTTCTACCAGCCCTACGTGAGTATCCCGGCGCTGCCGATCCGCGCGAGGGGGAGTCGGTGGCGGCTGGCAGCGCCCTCAGGGCGACCCCTCAGGCGCGCCGCGGCCCTCCGCGCACGCCCGGCCGCCTCGCGCCCCCGGGCTGTCAGCCTCCCGCCGGGGCAAGCGGGATGCCCCCCTCCCGCCGCGCTTCTGTCCTCCGACGTGGCTCTGCCCCGGCGGCTCCTGCGCCCGTCTGTGGGCTGGGCGGCTTCCCCGCGGAGCGGGCGAGGCCCTGGGGACTTCCCGGGGCCGGGGGCCCTCGGCGGTCGGGCGGCCGCAGCCCACCTGCGCCCGCGAGCCCACCGGCGCTCCGGCCTGCCCGCCGCCCGCGGCTCGGTGCGCGCCGAGCGGCCGGGCTCGCCGCCCCACCTCCCCGACTCGCAGCCTCCGCGGCCGCTTCTTTCTCTCCTCCTGTGGGCAGATGGGCTGCTGTTTTCCCGGTAGTCCTCTCGTCCGCAGGAACTTGGGCTTCCTGCTTTCGCCGAAGCGCTCGCTCTGCACGGTCTCTCCTGGGTGCTGCCCTTGCAGCCGTCGGCCGCCCAGCGTGACTTCCAGGTGTCTCCTTATTAGAGAAAAAGGTCAGGGAGGACCGAACACTGCTTTATGGGGCTTTTCCCCTAGTGGCCGTGAAGGAGGTCCTGCAGGAATAACTGGCGACGTTTGACCCGTGACAGCTGCGACCGTCCCTTCCTGAAAGTTAGGATGGCAGCCGCTGGTTTGGCTTTTCTCTCCCTAGGGAATGGGGTCTCGTTTGTAGCTGTTTTACTTACGAAGAATGGTCGTATTCGTAAAACTCTCCGTGGAGTGTAAATGGTGTTGCCAAAAAAAAAAAAAAATGCAGGAGGTTTTAAGGGGGGGGGTAAAGATAAGTCATTTCTCAATGATTGAGGGAGGGTTACAGACATAGGTTCCTGTCTGAAGGCAAAATTCACCACTAGGTAAGACGTAAAATTGAGCTGTCAGTGTTAAGGAGTCATGTAGAGGTATTAACTATTGGGTCAGTATCGGGGCATTTTGCTTATAGTCAGAAATGAACTTTCAGTTAAATACTGAAATTGTGCCAAGGCTAGCACTTCTGTGTGGATGAACCCCACGTGGAAATGATGCCTGCCGTTAAAAATTAAATGTGAAAATGTCACTTCGCTTAAAATGATAATGCAGTCTGTGGAGGTGTTAGCTGAAGTGAGAAATCTTGAGCTTATTCCTCATTTCCTTAAGTAGTTTTGCTTCTGCTGGTGATAAAGAATATTTTCTTCTGTTCCTGTTTGGTTTTAGTATAGTATAATTCAAATACTAATGCTCTTGTTTACGAACTCGGTATCATTTTTTCACCCAGAATAAAATCATAGTTGATCCTTCTGAGTGGGAAAAAAAAAAAATGCCCTTTGCTGTATATTGTTACCCATTTGCCTAAAATACAGTATTGGTTTTTATTGGAGGAATCTTTTTCTTAAAACCGTATTCCCTAGGTCATCTGTTGGCAGGATAGAAAAGGTATTTTGCAATACTGAAACAGAAATCAAAGAAGTGTTTTTTCATAGCTACACTTAATAACAGTATTCAAAATAGTAAGTTTCCTGGCTAATTCATGATATCAATGTAACCACTCAAGTAGTGTAGAATCTACAGAAAGATGTATTTAATTTGGAAATCCAGGAATACATCTTTCTCTTGTCCAAAGATGGGAGTAGAAGTACCTTTTACCTTTGCTGAGAGGTAGCAGTGAAGGTTACTGTGGGAAGGCACTGGTGCCTGGCATCACTGGCAATTCTCGTGTCATTTTTGGCCATTGCCTTAGTGACAGTGTTCCTGGGGACAGGGAGCTAAGAGGTGTAAAAAGAAGAATCTAGTGCTCACTGGACATGTAGAAGTGGGAATGCCAGGAACTGTATCTGTGCATTAGTCTTTCCTAAATTGGGTTTTGCCAACTATGTATTTGTTTTTGTTGGTCAAGAGTACTGTAACATAACTTATTTCAGGGCAGAAATCTTTTCCATTCCTTTATGCCATCAGCCAGTTTGTCAGCATATATTCATTTCATGCTTACCATGTCCAGGCAGTGTTTTAAAATCTAGAAATGAACAAACATAACTTCTGCTCTTTCAGCAGGGGGATGGACAAAGCTAATAAGAAGTAAAAAATATATATACCATGTCAGATAGTAAGTAGTAAGTGCTGTGGAAAAAATAAAGTGGGGTAGGGTGACAAGGGAGTGTGAGGATGACAACTTAAAATAGGATAGTCAAGTAAGTCCTCACTGAAAAGGTGCCATTTGAGCAAAGACTTGAAGTAGGTTAAGAAAGCTAGCCTTGCAGGGATCTGAGGGTAGATCATTCCAGGCAGAGGGAGCAGCAGATGCAAAGGCCCTGAGGATGGAATGGCTATTTGCAGATCCTGTCCTGTTTGAAGAACACCAAGAAACAGCATGGCCAAAGCAGACTACGTAAGGAAAGAGTATTTGGAAATGAGGTCTGTTTGTATAGGGCTTCAGAGTTATTCTATTCTCACTGCCTGGAATGTCCTTCCCTTGCATTACCAAATGTCCAGATTTGACCTCTTGTTCCACATTTAACTCAAAGATCACTTAAGCATTTCCTGAAGCTTTTTATCTTGCTGGATGACTCCTCTTGGTTCTTAGAATTTTATTTTTATCTTTATTATGGTACAGTATTCGGTTTCGTATCCTATAATTCCTTGGGGCATCCTGTAGATTCCTTGAGAGGAGGTATCAGGTTTTGGATATATTTGTGTCACCCCTCGCAATCAACATTTGAATTTTGAAGATAGAAAGCTCTCAAAAGTCTTTGCTTAATGTATTCATTAGATTCTCCTAGCCTAATATGGAGTTTGGGTTAAAAGTGACTTCCTAAGGCTCCTTCCACCTTTTAAAATTTTGTCCTTCATTAACTGGAGGTTTTAAGAATTCATGCCTTCAGGATAAAAGCAATGGTGGAATAGCTGTTACTTCAGCTGTTTCTGTTTTAAGTTGAAGAAGTTTCTAAGAAGTATGTATTCAACAAGACTGACAGTTTTGAATGTAATTTATTAAGCAGCCCCTAAGGGTGTGGTCCTGATAAGATGCTGAGATTTGATTCCAACAATAATGGTTTAGCACTAAGCAATTTGAAAACTGTTGAACCATTTGCCAACCAGTTGCCCTTATTGCATTGGATTTCCATTCCTCATTTATCCTTTTTTTTAAAAAAAGAGTTTATTTATTATTTATTTTTTAGTAATCTCTACACCCAACATGGGGCTCCACCTCACAACCCGAGATCAAGAATCACGTGGTCTTCCAACTGAGCCAGCCAGGCGCCCCGTCCTTCCTCTTAATACAACAATTTATATGTTCATCTTTACCCTTTAATAAGTGCAGATTTCTGTTTCCTGCTGTAATAGATTATTAGATTTTTTAGATTTGATTGTGCCTTCCAGCTGCTGTGAGGTGTGATATATATGAAATCACACATCTATTTTGCTAAACTGAAGTTTTTGGTTCATTCTGCTAGAGTCAGATATTAAGAATTCAGGGGTGGACTCAGAATGTTGTCACCTCTTGTTTTTGCCCTCTATTTCCTTGAGCTATGACTGCAGAAGTTCAGGTGTTTTTTCTTGGTTTAATTGTTTCTTTAATTGTTGGTTAGCCCCAGCAACTTGGCAACAATAAACTTTAGTCTTTTAATATTTGCTTGGCAATATTTGTGTATTACAATAAAGAACTAATGAGATGTATAGCTAATAAGCCAGATTTATTTTTTTTTTAAGCCAGATTTATTTTTACATAGCCATCAAACAAAACCCTTGGGTTTTGATTCCTTTGTTATTAATAAACCATGACATGTCACTATAAATAAAGTGAACATGTTTTTCTTTTATATGAATTATAGTAGTTGTTTCCACAGATACGAAAGATTGTGCGTGTATAAAATGCAGCGTTCATACATGAGTTACAAACTGTTATATATATGAATTGCCTCAATTTTCTTATAAACTAAATCTGATTATTATTGTCAATTAAATGCAAGCCCTAGAAGGGACCAAAGATTTTCTTTCCTTTTTTGAATTTGTTGACATAAAAAGCAAAATTTATAAATATATGTAAGTTTTTTTTCCTTTTTAAATTTTTAAGAAAGATGCATCCATGTATACTGGTATCTTAGTGACTCTTGAGACTGGCAGATGGGATAGTTAAACTTCTTTTTATGATCAAAATATAATTATAAACAGTTCTAAGCATTAAGGTGTTAACACATGTTAACATACACTATTTGAGCTGTTTTGTTAAGAGAATTCCAAATGATTGATTTCTTTCCATATTAATTAGGATGCTTTTGACTGCATAAATAAGGTTTTATGTAGTCTGACTTAAATTTGCTTGAAAAGAACCATATTAGGATACA